GGCCGATAGTGCGCGCGGAGCTGCGGTTGCTCCGCAGTGACGTACGGGGGTCTGCGGCGGCCGGGGGAAGCGCCGCTGCCGCAGTCGGACTCAGAGTCAGAGGGGGAGGCGGAGGAGGCGGAGAGCGCGCGAGCCACGGCCGAACTGCCGTTGGTGACGGGAGAGCGAGCGCCACTGCTGCCGCCGCCGCGGCTGTCGCGCTGCCCCTCCCGCGGCGCTCCGTGACTGGCGCCGGGGGCGGGAGGGGCGCGAGTGGGAGGCGCACGGCTGGGGGGCCCATGGGGAGTGGCGGAAGTAAAACTGCCGCTTCCGCCGCTCGCGTCCGCCCACCCTGCCTTGCGAGCATCTTCCCCCTCGTCGTCCGCATCCGCCGGTGCCCCGCCATCGCCTCCCCTCGCCTCACTCCCCGCACTGCCTCCCGTGCCCTCCGCGCCAGTCGCCTTCCCCATGCTATCCACTTCCGCCCACTCCGCTTCCCGCTGCGGCCCTCCGCGCGCCCCCTTCAGCGCTGGCCTGGCGGCCTCAAGCAGCGCCACGGCGCGCTCGAGATCCGCGCCGAGCGAGTTCACTGCGGAAGGGGGACAACGCGGAAGGGGGACAACGCGGAAGGGGGACAACGGGTTGATGCGTAGAAGAGAAGAGTGAGAGTGGTTGAGGGGCTAAATGGAAGGGCCGCGAGAGCGAGGGGAGAGAAGCGAACGACGCCAAGTGCGGCGGCAGGGCACGTGGCGGTGAGAGCAGCGCAGAGCGGAGCAAAGCGCAGCGCAGTGCCCTTCACGTTGGAAAATTCTCACACATGGCAGCGCGGACGCGCGCAGTGCACGGAGCACCGCGCGCAGAGCAGTTGATGGCGCGGAGAGCAGCCGAGGGCGGGCGTACCTTGGTCGTGGAGCTGCTCAATGGTGTCGCGCTGCTCGTCCGCCTCCGCGCGCATGCGCGCGCTCTCCTCCTCCCACCGCTGCCGCCGCTCCTCCATCGCCCCCTCCGCCTCTCGCCTCGCCGCCTCCTCCTCGCCCGCTCGATGGTGTAACTGCCTCACCTGCACCGCATGGCAACACATAGTGACACCCGGCGACAGACGGTAAGACACGGTAACGCATGAGCACACGTCACGATAGGCCAACACCCGTCGACTCACGGCAGCACACAACCGCAAAACACAACGTAGCTCGTGCAAGCACACGGCAGATCGCCCCCGCACCCCTCACGCCCACTCCCCAACACTCGCCTTCACTCGCCCTCACTCGCCCGCTCCCGCCCCCACTCACCTGGTGGTGCAGCAGCGGCGCAGCGGCGGCGGCGGCCTCCACGTGGCGCCACGCGGAGAGCGTCTTGGCGAGCAGCCCGAACAGCGCCACGTCCAGCACGCGCGCGGGGCTGGCGCAGCTGCGCAGCAGCACTCCGCCCTCCACCACGCCATCCCTCCCCCAGCTCCACCCGCCCGCGCTCTCCGCACTCCCGTCACCCTCCTCCCCTGCTGCCGCCGCCCCCTCCCCCACGGTGCCGGCGGGCAGAACCTCCCACGTCTCCGCGTCGCCCACGGACCTGCGCGCGCACACGGCGCACACGGCAAGCAGTGAGACGGCAGGGAGTGAGTGGCACGTGGGGTTCGACGAGCCGTACGACACATGAGGCAGTTCAATTCCCCCATGCACAAACATGCAATTCACAACTCCCCCATCTCACTTCCCGTCTCCTCCCCCCCCCCCCCCCCCCCCCCCCCCCCACCACACGCCCTCCTTTTTCCCCCAAGATCCCCCCACGCGGCGCTCACCAGGTGCGGAACGAGTCGCGCTCGCCGGGCAGCAGCGCGGCGGAGAGGCAGCGCCCGTCGGCGGCGAGGGAGCGCAGCGCGATGCGGGCGGGCGCGACGACGAGCAGCACGAAGAGGCAGTCCAGCGGCCAGCGACCCAGCCCGCCCGTGAGCGACGCGCACACGGCCAGCGACGCGGCGTGGGCGGAGCGGCGGAGCGGGTCGGCCGGAGAGGCCGCGAGGGCATTGGAGCCGTCGTCAACGCATGACGGCGTCGGCGTGCCCAGCTCCCACCTGCCGGCCAGCCGTCAGTGAATGGCACGAGGCAACGGGTAGGACGGGAAAAAGGGAAAGCTACGATTAGATCGAATGAATTGGAAAAGCGGCCGTGCCTGCAAGTGCTGCCACTCGGCTTCGTAGGCGTCAGGAAGCAGAGTGCACGCGCGTTCGTCTATCCCACGCGGCACGGCGTGTAGTCTGGCGGACGTACCTTCCTTGATAGCGCACGGCCGCCAGTCGCGAGGAGCCGGCCAGCAGACACACGAGCGACCCGTGCTGCAGCACCGACAGCGGCAGCCGTGTCACCGCGGGCGTTCCGAAAGTGGCGGAAGAATTGGCGGTGGGGGCAAAGGCCGACAGGGAAGCGGAGGAGGCAAGGAGCGGGGCGGATACGGGCACGCCAAACACGAGACCGCCTCGCGGGGCATCGGTGGCGCTCGGCAAGGAGTTGTGAAGAGCGGGCGCCGACGCAGGCGAGGCGTCGGAGCGCGGAGGAAAGAGGCGGTGGTGTGAGAGGGCGGCTTCGCTGGTCCGATGAGTCGATTCGTGCAAATGATCATTGGCGCTGGCGCGCACGCGGCGGTTATGCGCAGCTTCGTCGTGGTCGTCGTCGTGCGCGAGGCCCAGCGCGCGCTTGCCCGGGTCCATGAAGCTGCACTGCAGCATGTCGTCCGTTAGTAACCCCGCCAACCGCAGCGCCGCGCCCTCGTTCTCAACCTGGCCTTCAATCCCCCCCTCCCCCTCGCGCACTCCCGCAGCCTTCTCTCCCGCCGCCTGGCTCTCCCAGTGCTCAGCGTCGACGCGCGCAGGCACGTCGTGCGGCAGCACGGGGTGCCCCATCACCAAGATGCCAATATCACGCCCCGCGTCCTCCGGCCCCTCTACCTCCACCCCCTCGTCTCGCGTGCCCCACTCCTCTCCCACGGCGTCCCCCAGCCCGTCGTGCCGGAAATCTGTCGCTTTGCCTCCTTCCCTCATGGCCCTCACTGGGTTATCGTTCGTCGCCTCTCTTCCGTTCCTCTCGCGTCCCTCCTGCCCCCTGCGCGCGCCCTCGATTCTACTTTCGCATTCGCTGTCGGACGAGCTGTCCGAACTCGCCGCTGCCTTGTCGTCCGCGCGACGCTCAGCTGCGCTTCGTCGTTGCGGCCAACGCGTCCGCGCCTCTCGCGTGCTACCTAGTTGGATCGAACGGTTCCGATCCACGTTCGCTGATCGATGGCGCGCTACTCTTTCTAGCGAGTGATCGCGCGCCGCCGCCCTGACTTCCTTGTCCTGCTGTCGAGCACGTGCCTCTCTGCTCACCCTTCTCGTCTCGAGCGACTTTCGCCGTGGGATCTGCTTTCTCTGCTCCGCCGCCTCCACGCGCTCCTCGCCTGCCGCGTCCGCCTGAAGCAGCTGGTGAAACGACCAGGGAACATTTCTGCTCTCGCTCCTCTGCTGCTTCCGCGCAACCACCCCCGATGATTGCCGCCTCGTTTCCTGCGCTGCCAAGCCGGCGAACTCCTCCTGCACGCGCGGCGACGGCAGAGGCAGCCACACGGCGCTTGACCGCCCCACCGGCTGCTCCGCTGCCGGCCCCCCGCCGTCCATCTCGAGGTCTACCGACTGAGCGGACGGTTGGCCGTCTGAGCTGCGAGACGGAGACGCCGGCAGAAGGCCGGGCGGCGTGACATTGACAGGCGGGCTGCCTTTGCGCATGAGCCACGACGCTGCCTTTGCCAAGGATGGCGATGGTCCCGCTGGATCTGCTAATGCGTTCCATGCTCCTACCTGCGCGTCCGCTTTAAGATTGTAATAACGGCTCTCCTCGTCCGAGGCAGACATCGCGCCGTCTCTTTCTCGCTGCGGAGTCTCGTAATACCCCGATCGCGAATCAAATGAAACGCCATATCCGTCGTATCTACCTGACGTATATGCTGCTGCCATCACGTCCAAATCTATAGAAACATCAGCAACAAAAGCAAGCTAGCAAGCCCGATCTACTGATACAAACCAGAGTTAAAGTGGAAACAAGCCAAGTGGCGGCCTTTTGAAATCGTGGAGCCTTGAAAACAGAACGGAGTTGGTTGAGGGAGAAAGGAAATGTCTGACTGAATTCTGGATTTTACCTCGCCTCGACATTGACATGTCAGGTCGCTTTCTGCCACCGCCCCTTCCCATGCGGCTCGGTGACAACCTTCAGGATTTGACAATCTGATCCAGCGCAAGCCCAGGGGGACCCCTCGAGTACTGACCGCGTCGCGCTTTGATTCACGAGGGGTAAATTTCCCGCGCATCGTCGAGAACAGTTCGGAACAAGTGTATCAAAGTGTGATACGTATAGGGTACATATTTTTAGTTAAAGGTAACATTGCAAAACTACAAGAAAGAAGATGATATGCCTGCTCGCAAATGCTTCATTCAACTGCAAGGTGATGGGGCAACCTACACAAAACACTTGGATTCTGACCCATTCTAAACACAAGCCAATAATCAGTTTGTTTGTGGAGAGAACATGCCATTCCCTCGCTTAGTTTTGAGCCTGTATGGGAAGGGGGGAGCACGAGGATATGGTGCAACTCAAAAGAGAGAAGCAGGTGCCAGCTGCATCTGGAGCATGCACAGTCACCTTACAACAAACATCATTGAGAGTAAGCAAGTGGAAACGAATCCTGCAAAGAGAGCTTGCATGCATGGAGGATGAGCATGTGACAGCCGAGCGACACGGCAGTGTGTGAGGGAGACTCACGACGGTGCAAGGGGCCCCAGGTTGGCGAGGAGGGAGCCAGAGGCGGCGTCGAGCACACGTGCGGCACCGCTGGGTGTTTTTGAGAATTCTCAAAAACACCCTGCGACGAGTTAGCCACTCACGAGGGGGCGAGGGGGCCGAGGTTGGCGACGAGGGCACCGGAGGCGGCGTTGAGCACACGTGCGGCACCGCTGGGTGTTTTTGAGAATTCTCAAAAACACCCTGCGACGAGTTAGCCACTCACGAGGGGGCGAGGGGGCCGAGGTTGGCGACGAGGGCACCGGAGGCGGCGTCCAGCACGCGGCCGTCTTGGTCCAACAGGTAAGCGCGGTGCGGCACCGCTGGCACGCCGCGGCGCACAAGAGGGTCGAGGTCGCGGCGCTGCAGCTCCCTGCCGTTCACCACCACTCCCGTCCTGCCGCCCGAACACTCTCGCTGCATGACCTCTGGGAACTGTGGCAGACGCGCCTGCATGCACACACACGCGCGCACGGGAGTGCCAGGGGGGGGGGGGGGGTTGGGATGGGAGTGGTGCGACTCACAGGAGGCGGTAGCAGGGGGGTGACAGCGATGGTAGCAGGAGGGTGATAGGTGGGTGGTGCGAGGAGGGGGAGCAAGAATGGCTTACGGGGATGATGCCTCAAAAGGGAGCAAGAATGGCTTACGGGGATGATGCCTCAAAAGGGAGCAAGAATGGCTTACGGGGATGATGCCTCAAAAGGGAGCAAGAATGGCTTATGGGGATGATGCCTCAAAAGGGAGCAAGAATGGCTTACGGGGATGATGCCTCAAAAGGGAGCAAGAATGGCTTATGGGGATGATGCCTCAAAAGGGAGCAAGAATGGCTTACGGGGATGATGCCTCAAAAGGGAGCAAGAATGGCTTACGGGGATGATGCCTCAAAAGGGAGCAAGAATGGCTTACGGGGATGATGCCTCAAAAGGGAGCAAGAATGGCTTACGGGGATGATGCCTCAAAAGGGAGCAAGAATGGCTTACGGGGATGATGCCTCAAAAGGGAGCAAGAATGGCTTACGGGGATGATGCCTCAAAAGGGAGCAAGAATGGCTTACGGGGATGATGCCTCAAGAATGGCTTACGGGGATGATGCCTCAAGAATGGCTTACGGGGATGATGCCTCAAGAATGGCTTACGGGGATGATGCCTCAAGAATGGCTTACGGGGATGATGCCTCAAGAATGGCTTACGGGGATGATGCCTCAAGAATGGCTTACGGGGATGATGCCTCAAGAATGGCTTACGGGGATGATGCCTCAAGAATGGCTTACGGGGATGATGCCTCAAGAATGGCTTACGGGGATGATGCCTCAAGAATGGCTTACGGGGATGATGCCGAGACACGGGCCGCCCACGACCCCCCAGAAGCCAGCTCTGTGGTCGTACCTGGGAGAGAGGGGGACGGAAGAATGGTGGGTGGCACGGTGCCGCAGGTGAGAGGCGCGGCACGAGGACAGCGGCAATGCACGGTGTGTGTCAATGCACGGTGTGTGGCAATGCACGGTGTGTGTCAATGCACGGTGTGTGTCAATGCACGGTGTGTGGCAATGCAAGGTGTGTGTCAATGCACGGTGTGTGTCAATGCACGGTGTGTGGCAATGCACGGTGTGTGGCAATGCACGGTGTGTGGCAATGCACGGTGTGTGGCAATGCACGGTGTGTGGCAATGCACGGTGTGTGGCAATGCACGGTGTGTGTCAATGCACGGTGTGTGTCAATGCACGGTGTGTGGCAATGCACGGTGTGTGGCAATGCAAGGTGTGTGTCAATGCACGGTGTGTGTCAATGCACGGTGTGTGGCAATGCACGGTGTGTGGCAATGCACGGTGTGTGGCAATGCACGGTGTGTGTCAATGCACGGTGTGTGGCAATGCACGGTGTGTGGCAATGCAAGGTGTGTGTCAATGCACGGTGTGTGTCAATGCACGGTGTGTGGCAATGCACGGTGTGTGGCAATGCACGGTGTGTGGCAATGCACGGTGTGTGTCAATGCACGGTGTGTGGCAATGCACGGTGTGTGGCAATGCACGGTGTGTGTCAATGCACGGTGTGTGTCAATGCACGGTGTGTGGCAATGCACGGTGTGTGGCAATGCAAGGTGTGTGTCAATGCACGGTGTGTGTCAATGCACGGTGTGTGTCAATGCACGGTGTGTGGCAATGCACGGTGTGTGGCAATGCACGGTGTGTGGCAATGCACGGTGTGTGTCAATGCACGGTGTGTGGCAATGCACGGTGTGTGGCAATGCAAGGTGTGTGTCAATGCACGGTGTGTGTCAATGCACGGTGTGTGGCAATGCACGGTGTGTGGCAATGCACGGTGTGTGGCAATGCACGGTGTGTGGCAATGCACGGTGTGTGGCAATGCACGGTGTGTGGCAATGCACGGTGAAAGGCGCAATAGGCAAAGCGCAAGGTGCAAGGTTCACGGGGCACCGTGCAAGGCGGAAAAAGAATGGTGGCATGGCAGCAGCATGAGGCGGGCATGAGTGGGTGAGTGGGTGGGTGGTACCAGTAGTGGCCGGGGAGGATGGGGCCGGCAGTGACTTCAGCCTGGGCCACGAGCCCATCAGCAACAGGGCTGTCATTCACCACCACACCCCTCCCATACGACCCCCCCTCCTCCCAGTACGCCTCTCCCCCACTCCCACTCCCATACGACTCCTGCCGCCCGGCCCGCCACTGCCCCTCCCCCTGCCACCTCGCCCCCAGCTCCTCCTCCAGCCCGCCCTGCACTCTGCCACCCGCTCCTGCCGCCCCCCGCTGCTGCGCCTCCTCCTCCCAAGTGCCTCTCGCCCGTGCCCCGTTCTGCAGGCGCTTCATCACCGGGGAATCCGCCGCCCGCTCCGTCCAGTCAGCAGGGGGCGGCGTCCAGTCAGCAGGGGGCGGTGTCCAGTCAGCACCAGGTGGAGCGGAGGAAAACGACGAGGAGGGGGCGGCGGGGAGGTGGTGGTGGGGGAGGTGGAGAGGGGAGGGCGAGGAGGAGAGGGCGGGGGAGGCAGCAGCAGCGTGGGGGTGTATGCCCGGCGAGGAGGAGGAGCGGCTCATGGGGCCTGCTGCCTGCCGTTGCTGCTGCCACTCCCTCTCACTCATGCGCACCTGCTGCTGCTGCTGCTGCTGCGGTTGCTGTTGCTGGTTATAGTGCTGCTGGCTATACTGTTGCTGTTGATGCTGCTGGCTATACTGCTGCTGCGGCTGCTGCTGCTGCTGCTGCTGGCTATACTGTTGTGGCTGCTGCTGCTGCTGGCTATACTGAGGATGTTGTGGGGTGAAGGCAGGAGGGCGAGCAGGTTGTGAGGGTTCTGGGGAAGTGTGGGAGGGAGAGGAGTGGAGGTGGAGGGGCAGGGAGTGGGAGGCGGGAAAAGCGGAGGAGGGGAGGGCGGAGGAGGGGTGGGCGGAGGGGACGGCGGAGGAGGGGGGGTGAGAGGAAGGGGGGTCCGGGATGGCGAAGGAGGAGATGGCGAGGCAGCTGCCGCACCTGAGGCGCTGCACCATTTTGTTCTTGCGGCTGCGCGGCAGATTCTGCGGCACTGCTAGCATCTGCCCACAGTGCTGGCACTGCAGTGAGCACGGGGGAGGGACGAGGGGTACGGGTGGCGGAGGCACAAGGGAGTGAAGGAGACAAAGGTGGGAATACAAGAAGGGCACACAAAGTGGTGAGGGAGGCAGGGGAATGGGGCAGGAAGGTGGCAGGTGGCAAGTGGAGGGGCTTTGGTGCGTTCACAGTGTAGGCGCTCATGTGCGCTCACAGTGCAGGCGCTCATGTGCGCTCACAGTGCAGGCGCTCATGTGCGCTCACCCATCCCCCGCTCTGACTGACCTGCACGAACTGGGGGGCGTCTGGCGGGGGCAGCCACGGCAGGTCCGGTGGCACCTGGGACGACGCCTGGCCCTCACTGCCTGTGGGCCCCGCACCCGCCCCTGCTGCTCGCTCGCCCTCCATGCGCCCCGCTGCTGTATCACTCTTGAGAAATCTCATATGCTGCTGCTGCTGCTGCTGCTGCTGCTGCTGCTGCTGCTGCTGCTGCTGGGGGGTGGCGCTGCCCACACTATGGCCGTCAGCGCGGCGATCCAAGCTCTGCTCCGCCCCGTACGCGTCTCCTCGCCCGGCTGCTGCCACGTTGCCCGCACTGCCCCAACTCCTCGCGTCCCCACTGCCCCACCCCGCTGCCTCCTGCCCTCCCATGGCGCCAGCCTGGTCCCTGCCGCCCGCCTGCACCATTGCCCCCATGGCCCCGCCCTCCTCCACGCCCCTCCAGCTCGCGCTCCTCCTGTACACCTCCTCCCCCACCGTCGGCCTTGCTTCCTCCCTTGCGCCCCCACCTCCCCCCATGCTCCTCCTGCCGCCACCCATGCCCGTCCCCATGCCTGGTTCCCCTGCCATGGGCTGTGCATGGGAGGCGGAGCGCAAGGGCATGCCCATGTGCATGGAGTATGACTGCACCCCCATGCCCACGCCCATGCCCACGCCTGTTGGCGGGCCCATGTGCATTGAATTCGACTGCACCCCCATGCCTACGCCCATGCCCATCCCCACGCCTCTGGGAGGGCCCATGTGCATGGAATAAGACTGCAACCCCATCCCCACGCCCACGCCCATGTGTGGCTGCATGCCCCCGGCCCCCATGCCTCTGCCTTCCGACATGGCAACAGCACCGCTGTTCCACACCTCCTGCTCCTCCACCCCTCCTCTCCTCCGCGCCACCACCCCCTGCATCCCCCACTGCTCGCCCTCCTCCTCTTCCCCCATCCCCTCGCCCATACCATTCCCCACCCCTCTGCCCGCGCCCTCATCGCCCCTCCCTCCTGCCACACCTCCACTACCCACCCCCTCCCGGCCTCGCTCCCTCTGCGCGTGCGCTGCCTTGGCGGGTTTGGGCGAGCGGGGGGCGAAGGCCTGCTGCACGTACCGGGCAGCGCCCTGCAGCGGGCTCACCTGCCCCACGGCCCCCAGCCGCCATGCACTCGCCCCCTTGCCCCCCTCGCCCGCGCCCTCCCCCCCCGCCCCTCTCAGCGGCTTCAACTCCAGCAGCGCCTTTAGCTTTGAAGCCAGCGGCCGCCGCTCCCTCAGCCCCTTCCCCCCGCCCGCCCCGCCCGCCTCCGCCCCTGTGCCTCCCCCTGCGCCTGCCCCTGCCCCTGCAGCGGTTCTGGAGGCGGAGGCGGGGGAGGCGGGCGCGGGGGAGGAAGGGGCGGGCACAGGGGGGGGCAGGGAGGCGGGCATGGTGTGCTGGCGGGGCAGCCACGAGGGGGCGTCCGCGGAGGCATAGGGGCTGCCCGCGCTGGTGCCCGCGCTGTGTGTTGCGCCCACCATGGGGGAGGGCGTGGGGGAGTGACCGGGGAGGAGCGAGGGCGCAGCTGAGAGCGCACGGTGGGAGGGGCAGGGCAGAGGCATGGTGCGCTGGCGGATGAGAGCACTGCTGCTGCTGCTGCTGCTGCTGCCCGCACCCATGCCATCCATGCCCATGCCCCCGCCATCCATGCCCATGCTCATGCCATTCATAGCCATGCTCAGGTCAGGGTTTGAGTAGTAAGAGTGCCTGCTACTGGCGGCGCTGCCACCACGCCACTCACTGCGCCCCACAAGCTCTCCCCCACCCTCCTCCCCCTCGTCCTCGCCCTTCAGCCGCACCAGGTACGGCCCCTCATGACTGCCCCTGACCTTCCCCCCTCCCCCACGCCCGCCACCGCTCATACCACCCATGCCTGCTACTCCCCCCCTCTCTGCCGCTCTTTTCGCTCCCCCAATCCCGTGCTCCTCCTCCCCCTCGTCCTCCTCGCCCCGCCCTGCGCCCCTCTCGTGCTCGCCTGCTCTGCTGTGCTGCGACCGCTGCCGTGTGAGAATGTGGAGCAGCGAGGGCGATGCCCCCACGCTCGACCCTGCTGCCGTCGCACCCTCACCCCACTCGCCTGCCCTCGCGCCCATGCCCATGCCCGCGCCCATGCCTCCGCCCTCCCTCTCCTGCCCGTCCGCCCCCTCGCTCGACCCTCCTGCCTCACCGCTCTGCACCACTCTGGCGGTGGGTCGGTTCTCCTGGGGGTCTGTCAGCTGTCTCAGCAGCCCCCTGCTCGGCGCGCCCATCTCCCGCCACCGCCCGCCCTCCCCCGCCGCCCCCCCTGGCATCGTCACCTGCCGCCGCAGCTCCGACACGTCCTCCCCCTCCTCGCCTCCGCTCCCCTCTTCCTCCCCTTCCGCCCCACTGCCCCGCTCCCTCCCCCGGCTCGCCTCCGCTGCTGCAGGCGCGCGCGGGTCTGGGGAGGCCGTGCGCAGGCCCGGAGGCGGCTGGCCCAGAGGCTGTGCGAAGCGGGAGGCGTGCGGGAAGCGCGGGGGGAGAGTGGTCTGGCGGGGGAGCGCGCCTTGCCCCGCGCGCTCGCTGTCGCTCTCCGCCCCCTCTGCTCCGCTTGGGGTTGCGGGGCGGTCGGTGCTGCCGGGGCGACTGGGGCCGGGGGAGGAGGGCGCGGCGAGGGAGAATGGGGAGGGCGAGTGGGCGGAGTGGGCGGCGGGGAAGAGGCGCGAAGGCATGGTGCGCTGGCGAGGCACCATCGCGTGCGCGGGCGACTGCTGCGGCGACTGCTGCGACACATGCCTCTCTGTGTCGCCCCCCCCAGCGCCCCTGCTGTAGTCATGGCTGAACCTCGCCCCCTCGCCGCCCGCACCCGCTGCTCCCGCGGCTTCCCGCTGCTCCTCGCCCTCTCCGCGCGGTGCTGCAGCGGAAGGCGCAGAGAGGTTGGCGGAGGAGGAGGCGCGCGGCAGCGACACCTCCACGCCCACCGGATGACGCGGACCCCCCACGCCCACCGCGTGCTTCGCTGAAGGCGGGAGCACGAGGGCGGAAATGCGGGTGAAAGGAGAGAGGGGGCAGCGGAGAGGATGGGGAAATCAAGGGGAGTTGTCGGACGAAAGAAAACGGAACGGGTTTGCAAGGTGAGAATGCAGGGAGCGAACGAAGTGGGGGAGGAGAGAGCCGGGGCGGGAGGGCAAGCGGGTGGCGGGGCGGGAGGGCAAGCGGGGGGCGTGGCGGGAGGGCAGGCGGAGGGGGCACCTTGCAGGACGGTGAGGCAGCTGCCGCACTTGTAGAAGGGGTGCCCCATGGGCGGCTCCTGCAGGATGGCGCGACACCGCGGGCACTGCACCATGCGCGACATGTTGCTCGCGCGCTGCCGCGTCGCGCGCTACAATGCGCTTAGCGTGCACCGCCGCGATAGATGCAGCGGTCAAAGCGGTTCGCAATGAGCAGAAGATTTATCTATGTATGTTCGCGAAGGGGGTAGTCCTGGTCGTTTAGATGGGTACTGTGCGACCAACGGGACCTCATCTCGCGACTCTACCTCTCTTGGTTGGGGTGGCGGAATGGGAAAGGCAGACTAGGCGAGGTTGTTCAAACGAAAAGTTGGTCTTTGTGGTTCAAATTGATTAGCGAGGTTGGATGTTTTGCTTCGGTTCGGGTGGGACTTTCGAGAAACTAATATCGAGGTTCGCGAAATCAGGGCAACACGTAAACATCTCGACCTTCGGAAAAAACCTCATTTTGACGGGCTGCTATGTTGTGCGAACCTGAAAAATTCCATAATATCTCGCCAAAACTTTTCGCCTGCTTTCGACATTCGCCACCGCCACCTGAACCACAGGGCTTCCAATGGCTGTCCCCCAGAGTTCCCGAGTCTAGACGATGAGGTTCCCCTGTGCCCGAACCAGCCAGGTTGGGTGGAGGTATGGAGCAATTGAGGGCTTGAGGGGAATGCAACACTTATTGTCGGCGCTGTCTCTTCTCCCCCTTCCCATCAGCCACCACTGCTATATTTCATCTCAGGAACTGTCGTCACATGTCGTTCTCATTTTTCGACTCGCGGCGAACAAGCAGCACGTGAGGCGCAACAAGAGGGAAGCATCGAAATTATCTTCTCTTTTGGCGCGCGACGTTCATCGGCGGCTGCCTGCACGAGGCAGCGGCAGTCGCGGCGGGCAATCCACCTGTCGGCGCGGCTGATCCAAGTCCTGTTGATTCACTCGCGGCGCGCGCTATTCTCGCCTCTCACTTGGTAACGCCGTTTCTCCAGCTCACCATGTCGCTTTGCTTCGCGCTTTCTGGCGACGATGAGACCAATCAGGGTTGGTTTCGTAGCTGTCGTATCGTGTGTGTTGCGTGCACGGCGTGTGCGCGGCGTGTGCTTGGCGTGTGCACGGCGTGTGCACGGCGTGTGCATGGCGTGTGCATGGCGTGTGCACGGCGTGTGCATGCGGTGATCTCTGTGTGCGTGCGCGTCGTTCGTCTCATGTCTTCCGCGATGAACGAAGATGCTCTGAGCCATGATGGCGCGACTTGTGAGCATGACACCACACTGGTTGGCCAACGCGCTGCCGCCATTGTCCTGAATCATACACTCATCCATCCTGGCACGTTCAATCATACACCCAATGCTTTCTCCCTCCCTAGTTTCCCCACGTTCGCTCCCCCATGCCTACTCTTCCCATGCCTACTCTCCCCATTCCTATTTTCGCCAGGCCTACTCTCCCGTGTTCACCCCCCATGCTCATTCACTCTCGCTCTGGTGCCATCTATCTCCTTCCGTTCGCCCCCTCGTTCCAGTCAACCCCATCACTCTCTGCCTGGCAGCGCCACACGCATGGTGGCAGCAGGGATGGTCGCCGCGTTGTGACGGCACGGCCTTGCACTGCGCAGTGCACAGGGGCGTGTGAGTGCAGGGAGCTGTACGGAGTGCCAACAGCGCCACCAACTCCTTGCGATTGTGACGAAGCTGCTGCTTGCTGCCTGTTCCACCCTAGACGCTTGGATTGAGAGCTGATTAGCAAGCCCCTACGACCCCATCAGTGCCTGAAGCGGGTTCGCCTTGTCGGGTGTGCGTAGGGGGTGGGACCTCTCACTCACTGCAGCACCACCAAGGCAGCCAGCCACCCCAACCCAGCATTGGCAGCGTGGCGGCGGCACTGACCCCGCTGCTGATGGACGCGTCTGGCCCGCCTGCCGACAGCCGGGACGCAGAGGGGGAGAAGGCGGCACTGCACGCGGCGGTGCCGCCGATGCTGTCAGCGGAGGAGGACGTGGAGCAGCCGCAGCGCATGCAGCTCTTCATGGCGCACCTCATGGCACACCTTTTCTGCTGCGGTACCCTCGCCCGCCCCCACTGCGACATCCCCCCCGGGCCCCCAGAGGCCAACGACCCGTCACCCCCTTCGCGAGGGTTTGTGCCCATAGACCGCTCCATGCCGCCCATCATGTCGGGCCGCGTGCTGCACCTGCCCGCCTCCTACCTCTTCTCCGGTGGCCGACCCTCAGAAGACGACGACTAGCTTACATTAGCTGGTGGCAGGTGGATTAGCCTTTGCTCGCACTACTGCCAAGCCATAAATGAGAACAAAATTAACGAAATGATGCATTTATCGACCTTGTACCTATTAAACAAATTAGGGTACATTCCGCTGTGGACACTTTCTCAAAGAAAGTGTCCGAATCACTTTTGGCCCGAGTCGCCCTCTAATGTCTCAGAACTTCATGTCCCAATCGATCGATGTACCGTATTCTCCCGGATAAAACACCCCCCCGTAATTGTACACCCCCGGGTAGCTAATACGGGGTGGGTGTTATATCGGACCCCGTTTCTATACCCCCCCTTTTGGGGTGATTTTCTATAACACCCCCCTTTTCTTATAAATTCCTATTATAGCTGTTATCGAGTCCGATTCCTTACGGGAGGATATCGCGAGAATCTCTCCCTAGGTGAAATTTCGCATGTACTTTCACTTAGAATCTGCCGAGATTTCCCCACTCCCACAATCTCGCTGTCGCCACGCTGGCGAATCTTCCGCTGCAAGTGGCCCAAGAGGTGAAAATCACCTTCTCACATGAGGCACAGACACGTGACCAAACCAGTCAAGAAGTGACTGGTACAGTAAGAACACACCACCGTGCGCGATTCTGGCCTCGGCGGTTGCATGAACCCTCGCCACGCAATTGGCTTTGTTTTCACCCTATCAAGTGCCAGAATTGCCCACTCGAATTTGCCACGTGGCAGTTTCCAGTGGGCGGTCACGTTATCCTCGTATACTCGGTTTTGCGGCAATGGTCAACAATCTCGAAGTGAAGTCAGACCCCTGATTTTGTTTCACATCTTTTCTGCTTGATAAAAAATATACCATATACCCGGGTATTATGTAGGATTTTCCTTTGAGGAGACCCCCCCCATTTTTTCCCAGTGGTTTTCATAATACCCTAGGGTGTTTTATTCGGGAGAATACGGTACTGCGACCCACGGCGACCTCGTGAACAATTATGTGTAAAGGAATGTGATTGGTCCGTTGTGTGAGTTGCCCACTCAACCTGCGCGTCACACGCACCTGGGCGGAAGGTCTGTGGGCGCGAAATGAGCGGGGTGGTCAATAAATCTGAAGGAGCCTTGTGTGGCCAACCACGTTTCAGAGTACGCGTAGCTACTGAATCCGTCCCTGTAGAATGATGACCATGTACATTCAGCATGGATTGACATTTCGCACCGCGTGCGATGGCTGGTGTGTGTTGAGTTGGCGTGCAACTAGCCCGCGACAGTTCCGCGTTTCACGCCACCCAATGAGAAATACTTTTTGCGACAAACAAGAGCGGTCTGGAATTCGGACACCTTGCAGCATATCGGAATGCTGTAACTTCATGTCCCAATCGATTCAGACACTTTCTTTGAGAAAGTGTCCAGAGCTGAATGACCCTTTGGGTGCATTCCTGTGGGGACACTTGTGTCTCAATCACTTTGTGACACCCAAAAACAACATAAACTGTGTTGTGTCCCAGATGCGAATCGGCTTTCGGCGACTTGTGCTGTATTTATTATTGGTCAGCGTGAAACGCGCTGACATCGCTGTCGAATTGTGAAACGACCCGTCATTGTTAAAGAATCGCACGCGACTCGAAATGCCCGACACGACCACATGCACCTAGACATCCAAAAATGCCAATTTTGCGAGGGAAAAGATCCCGCGCATCGAAACCACGCCCCTGCTCGGAGGTTGGAAATACGGGTGTACTGTCACCCAGTCAAATGCACACACATGTACATCTCTTTTTGATCCCCGCCAGTGAAACGTGTCCAACTGAACCTGCCAATATGTCGCCCTACATCGCGGTACATTCGATGTTTGTGACACAACATTGGGAAAATTAACAGGCGCGACTCTGGAAAACGGGGATTGAGACACAAGTGTCCCCACAGGAATGTACCCTTATATATCACAGACAATGCAGGTAATTCACAGCTATAGAACCCTGCACAACAGGCAGTGTAACCACTAAGTCCTTAGCGAGGATTAGAACGGAAGAGAATACTAGCCGAAATTGAACGAAATGGGCGAGCCCAAACACAGGAAATGCACGAAGGCGAAGCATTTTGCTTGAAGCAGGTTTCCCGTAGCAATGAATCAACGAATGAAACTCCTCCACGCAAGCTCAAAACCAATTCGTCTAGTCATTCCACTGTTTCCCGAAGCGCCCACGTTGAAAGCAGCTGCAAGTTAGGGTTGGCGTAACCCTAAAGTCATTTCACGCCGAGCAGCTTTGAAGCACCTGAACATACTAGGTTTAGCATTAGTAATGCTACCCCTCCACCCTCGCTGTTTTTGCGATGCCCGCGTGTGCGAACCCCTCCTCGCGCTGCATGCGAGGCGCTTATCCCTGTCAGAATATTATGCTCTAGCCTGTAGTTGGGTGCTCCATAGCGAGTACAACCCAATTAGGGTTAGTACTTGTACCCACTTCATTCATAGTTCATTCATCCTCGTTCATAATTTCACATGGTATCAGAGCAGGTCGATCCTCTTGGATCGATCCTGTGGGTGGGCTCACCACCTCGTTGCTTCCGCTGCAACTACTACTGCTACTCTCTGTGCCGCACGCCCTGTGGCGTGCGGCAGTTTTTTCTTCCCGCCGTGCGCCCCGAGGCGCGCGGCGGTTTTCTGCCCGCTGTGCGCCCCGAGGCGCGCGGCGGGCTTCTGCCCCGTCACTCGGCGCGTCCCCCTCGGGAGGCGCTGCGACGGGCGACGGGGACCCGCGCGTCGGCCCCGTCGCCGCCCGCATCGGCCCCGTCGCCGCCCGCAGCGGCCCCGTCGCCGCCCGCAGCGACCTGTCCCCGCCCGC